AGGCAACAAATTGAATATTATTTTCTTATTTATGTAAACAGGATGCTGGGTTTAAGAGAAAAACCATAATTGACACACAAGTGCCTAGCAATAGGAAAGAATCTGGAACCTCAGTTCTTAAAAAGAAACTTCTTTCAGGGGGTCCTAATCATTAAATGTAATCAGCAAGAAAGTAAAGTACATTTTGGAAATCTGCAGAAGGTTTGAAGTATCCAACCATGATCAGTCATATTCCAATAGTCACGGTAAAAAAAAAGTAAATTTTATAAATATCTACAGTATTTAATAAAGTTGTCCAAATCAAGACACTTGTCTACATATTTAAGTTCAGCACTTAAAATAAAGAAAAAGTGAGTAAGTACTGTACAAATATTTAATTTGTTCTCATCCAGAAAACAGAATTAAGTTCTTCTCTTTTAAAGTCTTTGCAATTCTCTCAGTGACATGAAATTTAGTTATCCATTGAAGACACAAGACTATCAAACCATTTCTGTCTGTGGGGAAAGGAGATACTGTAACACGATGGTTTAAAGAAACATGTTAGATCAAGGCAAGTAAGAATTATCTTCTTATTATTTAACCATTTAAATGTTAAGTGACTTGTACCCCATCACTATAAATTGGTGCTTCTTTTAGAGTCTGGATTAGTAAAGGTTTTTAAAAAACAAACTGGTATCAGGAAATTATTCTCGTAAGATTTCCTGTAAATTCTTTGGCGCCATATGCTCTTAGGAAGTAAAGTATAAAGGAAAGCTAATGGTTACAAGTAACTTAATAAATGGTACACAGATAAATATCATACAGAGATTAAAAAGCAAACATGATGAAATGCAGTTACTTGCATGCATAAAGTTAGTCACAACATCCCATTTTTACCTCACCGTAGAAGACTGTAGACTAAAACTTCAGATTTTCTTAGATTTACAAGTATTCTACTACATCCTAGTAGCACTTCTTGGCCCTCTAAAGAAAGAGTACAAACTAAACGTATTCAAATAAAATACCAGTAATTTCATATGACAATGTTATCACTTTTGATTATTACATATCACCTGCAATCATATTTTAAGAAGAGTGATCACGTTCATAAACTGTTCATACAAAGAACAGCAAGGCTGGCTGTACCATCCCTATATGGAATTTTAATGATTTTAAGTTAGTGTCTCTCGAAGATATTTTGGAAGCAAGTATGAAAGCAGATATTCATGTCAGTTTTCAGAAATTGTTTATAGGTTGCAGTGATTTCAGGAAAATGGTTAATTTTCTTCCTGCAGCATTTCCTCTATTTCCTTGTCCCAGTTATTATCACGTTTTTCTGATTCTGTCACCACTTCATACTCTTGAAGCTCTTGCTGTAATTCCTTCTCCCAATCAGCAGTCTCTTCTACAAGGAAGATAAATGATATGTAATACCTACTTTGACGGTACAGAATGTTGTTTATGTAGAACTAGATTATTTTCATTGAGGCTACATGTCTTGCATTCCAGAGTTCTGGAAGCTCAAGAATTTCATCTTTGGAACAACTGTGGATGAAAAACTAATATACAGAGGGGTGCCCCCAGAATATATTATTATAAAGTATTGATGTAATAACAATGGACAAATATGTATTATATTTGATGTTTTTTCCACCTCAGTGTAACCCAAAATGTCTACCTGTACCAAAGACAAGCTGATTTTTCAAACTATAAACAGTGTGAATTCAAGTCTCTCTCTCTGCTGTCAACCCCTCCCCACCTTTTCTTACAGAAAAAGAAATAAAAAGAGCTATGCTACATGAAAAATGCTACACACCTTACAGTTAATGATGATCCATTATCAAGTGTTACCAGCTTGTGGAATTCATTGGTTTCAAAGATAAAAATTCAATACTATGGGTAATTGAAGGAGGGATGGACAATTTTATTTCCACTAAGATATGTAGCTAGGCAAGCTAATATAATAAGGGATAAAAATAATGAACTTGCATACTTCAGGGCAAAAGAGGAGTCAGAAGGCATTCCTATGTTGCCACCCTTCCTTCAAATTGACGAGGTCAGTAATGAGAAGGTGGCTGGGGTAGAGGCTGGCATTTGAAGGATTAGGTATTGGCCAAAGCTGGAGTCTGGATATCATAGGAGGTAATTCCATAGTCTCATCCAGTATTGTGAGTTAACATTTCTGCTAAATACACTATATATTGACAGCTTTATTAAAACCACTCAGCAAGAATTTCAATCAATTCAGGAAAATGCATATGAGTGTATTTTTAAGGTTAAACCTACAAACTATTAAATTTGGGGTTGCAACATCTTGCAAATAACTGATTTCAGACTAATATTCACAGCATCTGAACATCTGGACTACAATTCTACTCTAAAAAGTGATTATGTAAAAAATGTCAGATTATTTTATTGTGGTATATTCAGTCACATATACTAAGACTAAACTTTCTGCTTTTTTACTTCTGTTAACTCGACAGAGCCATGCTAAGACAATTGAATTATATTTCTTCTTGTTCATCATCTTCAAAATTATTTAGTAATTTCTGATTTGTTAAATTTATGTAACTCCATTTAAGGTACAGGTATCACTGAAACCATAATCTGGATTGTAAAATCTTTACTGTTGATGATGATGTACAATAAGGAAAATGCAGCTTGACTTTCAGATCCCACATTGAGTTTGCAAGGATTGCAGTTACACAAAAAACCTTTTACTTACAATCAAGTATGTGAGATGGGAATTAAGAAAAAATGAGAATCTCTGTCATTTTCAGTCATGTTTTCATAGCAGAACTTCTTGTAAAGTTGATTGTTTCTTCAGAACATTTTTTTTTTTGTTACTAGTATTCCATGCAAGAGACTGCTTGAATAGTGATTAGTCCTTTCTGCAGTGAGGCATTCCAGAAATAGTCAAGCAAAACATGTAATCTTCTATGATGACATGATGATTTTTTGACTTGGTTGTCAAAAAGTTACTTGCTTAGTAAGAGTAGAATTTTACAAGGCTCAGTCAAATTATTCTGTTATTCCAAGTCTAGCAAACCCTTACTACTATCTTTTGAAATTCAGTAAACATTACAGTTTTTTTTAAAATTGCCGAGAATGAATGTAGTCAAATGTATAAAAAGCTATTTACTTTATTAGCTTTAATTTTTGTTTTACCTTCTACTATGGAGGTCTTTTTTTCCTTTTTGCCAAGCACCAATTGTTCCATTTCCTTCCTTAGGTCTTCCTGATTCAGGTTACATTCATCAAAAGCATCACTAACAAATTCTGATACACCTGGACTAGTAGAAATCTCTTCCTCGTCCTTGAATAAAATAAATTTTGATCATTCGAAAAGGAAAACACACTTGACAATCATTACTCTATGTGAACTTCTCTTCCATAGTTTAATGTAGTCAAATACAAATTAAAAAAATCTATTTTGTCAATTACCATATCTTCCTGTACAGAAAAAAACCATTTGATATACATTTTGAAGAAGGGACTAATTTCCATGTTACGTTTTTTTATTTTTCTACTAAGAATTGTAATTCAGTTTAGTAATCTCCAAAAACAGTGAAAAGATTAAATTAATTTAATTGTAATAAGAATGTTTATATTAATTGTGGAGGCAGTTAAAAAATTAAACACTGTCCATAAGAGGATGAGAGTTATAGTAGGATTGATCTCTGGAAACCTCTCCCCTGGTTTTAGTTAACAGAATAGAATTCATTGGTCTCATTTCTCTAATGTTCTGTACTGCCATAAAGAAAAAGCTGTAGCTAGACTGCAGAATTAGATGTTGAACACTGAACTTTTTGGATATTCAGTTGTAAAGTAAGTTCTACTAGTATTAAGATATATGACAATATCGGCAAAACCACCAATCTATATTTAAAATAAGTATTACTCATGGTGTATTAAATGTTATTACTGCTTAGTAAATTTATAGCTCCAACTCTGTCTGAAAGAGTTTCCTGGCACCAATATTGCAATCCAAGATTAAGAATAATGTCTTTAGTTCTCTTTATGATTTCTGCAGTGGCAAGCAAAATTGTTTTCAGTGTCATAATGACATAATGTTAAATCTTAGCAGAAGTCTCCAGAAATATCAATATTGTACAGATAAATATTTTATTATGAAGCAAACCTGCTATCTCTAAATATAACAAAAAACCTCAAACTCACAGTTTGTGTGATCATACATTAAATGTAAATTTCATACACTGAACTTCAGATGTAGTATACAACCATTGTTACCTCTTGAGGTTTTAGCTGAGATTTGATTCCAACCGGTGGTGTTTTGGGCCGTACTGTTTCTAGGAAGAGAAAAAACCAGAAATTTGATATATTTTATTATTCTTAAATATCTCCAGAACTAATTTAAACTATGTAAGTATTAACTATGCAAGGAAATTTTCTATTAAAGGAGATACATTATATTTAAAGGTTGAGTTATGGGTGAAATATTTATCAAATAAGAATGAATTAACCAGAGAATGTTTTTTTCTACATTGATTCTATTTTTAAAATGAAATTTAAGATAAAATTCTGTAAGCAGTTGTACACTTATTATTTCAGACTAAGGGTAAGTCTACAGTAAGAACTTATTTCAAAATTATTCTATTTGAATTTTCGGAAGCTATTTTATACATTCGGTCTTCTATGTCCCCACTAAAGAGAGTGAATTCAGCAGATTGCGTCCACAGTACCAAGGCGAGCATCGAATGTCGGAGCGGTGCACTGTGGGTAGTTATCCCACAGTTCCCGCTGCCCATTGGAATTCTGGATTAAGCTCCCAGTGCATGATGGGGCAAAAACATTCTCGCGGGTGTTTCTGGGTGTGTGTCGTCAGAAAGCTACGTCAGATAATCGTTTCGCACCTTCTTGGTGTGCAGACGCCATACTGCTTTCAGCAGACAGTGCACAGCTGCTCTCCTGCTACTATGAATCCACCTCCCCAACTCAACGCTGCTCGGCCATCATGAACTGAGCAGCACAGTTTCCGCTTCCAACTCTGCTCTCCCGCTATTGCCATGCTTCCAAGCTTCTCCATGTTGTCTGTCCTGGGCACCCTCCTCCGTGAAAGCCACAGAAGACAACCATTTTCAGCCTTTGTTCGGCTACCGTGAACCAAACAGCACAGCTTCTGCTGCCACTCTGCTCTCCTACATTTCGCGCCCTTTTTCCAGGATTACCTGTGCAGGCGCCATAGCCATGGAGCCCGATCAGATCTCCGCTGTAGTTTTGACCATTGTAAATATCTCGCGCATTATCCAGCAGTATGTGGGGTACCTGCAAAACTGGGTGAGGAAGCGATGACAGCGCAATTACTATAGTGATGAGGACATGGACACAGACGGCACAGCATGTGGCAATTGGGAGATCATGGTGCTGTTGGGCCAGGTTCATGCTGTGGAACGCCGATTCTGGGCCCGGGAAACACACACAGACTGGTGGGACCGCATAGTGTTGCGGGTATGGGATGATTCCCAGTGGCTGAGAAACTTTCGTATGCGTAGGGCCACTTTCATGGAACTTTGTGACTTGCTGTCCCCTGCCCTGAAGTGCAAAGACACCAAAATGAGAGCAGCCCTCACAGTTGAGAAGCGAGTGGCCATAGCCCTGTGGAAGCTTGCAATGCTCGACAGCTACCCGTCAGTTGGGAATCAGTTTGGAGTGGGGAAATCTACTGTGGGGGCTGCTGTGCTGCAAGTAGCCAATGCAATCATTGACCAGCTGCTATCAAGGGTAGTGACTCTGGGAAACGTGCAGGTCATAGTGGATGGCTTTAATGTGCTGGGGTTCCCTAACTGCGGCGGGGAGATGGACGGAACACATATCCCTATCTTGGCCCCGAAACACTGGGGCGGCCAGTACATAAACCGCAAGGAGTACTTTTCCATGGAGCTGCAAGCACTGGTGGATCACAAGGGACGTTTCACCAACATCAACGTGGGATGGCCGGGAAAGGTGCATGACGCTTGCATCTTCAGGAAGGAACTTACTTCCCAGACAAGCAAATTACTGTTGGGGATGTTGAAATGCCTATAGTTATCCTTGGGGACCCAGTCTACCCCTTAATGCCATGGCTCATGAAGCCATACACAGGCACCCTGGACAGTAGTAAGGAGCAGTTCAACTATAGGCTTAGCAAGTGCAGAATGGTGGTAAAATGTGCATTTGGATGTTTGAAAGCGTGCTGGCGCAGTTTACTGACTCAGTTAGATCTCAGCACAACCAATATTCCAATTGTAATTGCTACTTGTTGTGTGCTCAACAATATCTGTGAGAGTAAGGGGGAGACGTTTATGGCAGGGTGAGAGGTTGAGGCAACTCGCCTGGTGGCCAGTTTCACACAGTCAGACAACAGGGCGATTAGAAGAGTGCAGCGGGGCGCACTGCACATCAGAGAAGCTTTGAAAGCCAGTTTCACGACTGGCCAGAACGGTGTGAGAGTTGTGTTTGTTTCTCTTAAAGTTACCTGCCCCCTATATAAATATATATATATATATATTAAAGGAAATAAAGTCACAATTGTTTAGAAACCATTCTTTATTATTTGTTGCACAAAACACTGAGAGAAATCAGAAGCTAGATGGGAGTGGGAGGGGGATATTGGGATATGGGGGTGGAGGAGGAGGGAAGGACAAGATCAGAAACCAAATAAAAATTTAGCATATGCCAGCTTTCTGCTGCTTGTGCAATCCTCTGGGGTTGACTGTGTGGGTCCCCGTAGCCTACCTGCTGTGTTCTTGGGCGTCTGGGTGAGGAGGCTATGGAACTTGGGGAGGAGAGAGGGCAGTTGTTCAGGGGCTGCAGCGGCAGTCTGTGGTCTTGCTGCCTTTCCCGCATTAGATCCACCACACAGTGAAGCACGTCATTTTGCTGCCCCATGAGCTTGACCACAGCATCGCATGCGTCCCTCCTCTCTTTGTATTCATGTAACGCTTTACGCGACTCCGCAATTGTTTGCCTCCACACATTCAACCGGGCCCTATCAGTGTGGGAGGACTGCACGAGCTCGGCAAACATGTAGTCCAGAGTTTGTTTTTTCCGCCTTCTAATCTGGACCAGCCTCTGGGACGGAGTAGATAGGGGCCACATTGAAACATTTTCACCTGCTGCAGGAGGAGAAAAAGGAAGGGTAGTATTTTAAAAGATACATTTTAGAGAACAAAGGGCACACTGTTTCTCAGTGAAACAGGCAATTCACAGTATACAGCACATGTTCTTTCTGTACAAGGTCTCATTTTGCCTCTTATACTGAAGTGCCTGCCACTTTGGTATGAGTAAGACATCACATGCGGCCAGGCAACAGAATTCAGCTTGCAGGCAGCGGCCAGGCAAAGAATTCAGCTTGCAGGCAGCCTGTGGGCTCTCTGGGATGATCACTTCACACAACATCCCATCCCCCACCACAAACACTGCAGGGCTCCGATGAGGCTCTGAGCAGGGATGAGCCCTTTAAACTAAACACGAACAGCCAAGCGTGGCTGGGTTTCCCCCCCCACCCCACTGCATTGCTCTGATCAAGCTCTCACTCACCAGAAGTGCCTTCTCCAGAGTCATGGTCCGGGAGCATGCTTTGGGAGTAGGGGGAGGCTATTGGCTTCAGCATTAAGAATAGTTCCTGGCTAGGGGGGAAAACAGATTCCCCACTTGCCGCCTGTGCACTGTCCTCCTCCTCCTCTTCGTCCTCCAAAAACTCATCCTCCTCGCTCCGTGCTACTCCCCCCTTGCAGGTGTCCACGGACAGTGGTGGGGTAGTAGTGTCCTCACCCCCAAAATTGCATTCAGCTCACGGTAGAAGCGGCATGTATGGGGCTGTGACCTAGAGCGCCTGTTCGCCTCCCTGGCTTTTTGGTACGCTTGCCCAAGCTCCTTGATTTTTGTACGACACTGTTTTGTGTCCCTTGAGTAGCCTCTTTCCGTCATGGCCCTGGAGACTTTAGCATACGTATTTGCGTTCCTTTTTTTGGAACGTAGTTCTGCCATAACAGATTCATCTCCCCAACATGCAATGAGATCCAGTACCTCCCGTTTGGAACATGCTGAAGCTCGTCTGTGAATCTGGGGCTGCGTGGTTGCCTGTGATGGTAGACTCTGCATGGTCGCCTGTGATGGTGGACTGTGCTGATGGTGACCAAACAGGAAATTCAAAAGTTCCCGGGGCTTTTACTGCCTACCTGGCTAGTGCATCGGAGTTCAGAGTGTTGTCCAGAGTGGTCACAAGGGAGCATTCTGGGGTAGCTCCCGGAGGCCAATATCGTCAAATTGCATCCACAGTACCTGTAACCTGAAACTGCAGTCTCGATTTTAGCGCTACTCCACTTGCCGAGGTGGGGTACAGAAATCGGAGTAAAGAGCCCTTTAAATCGAAGAAACTGGTTTGGTCGTGTGGACGGAACCAGTTTTATTTCGAGGTAACTCAGGTAATTCCGAAATAAGAGCTTACTGTAGACCAGGCCTAAGGAAACATTGGCTAAATCAAACTGAAAAAACTCCCTACCAATAAATAAGTCAACTAAATAGATCAGTATCTGGGTGAGGCTTCCAGGCTTGTGATCTTCCTCACAAAGTCAATTAGAAGGTAAGATCCAAAATCTCCCTTTCTGAGAGGATTTTAGCAGTCTGGAATCTAGGCTATGCTAGAACTCCAGGTCAACCTCGGACAGGCTTACTGAAACAGAACGATTGGTAAGGGAAAAACATTTTGGATCACAGCCCTTAGTATTTTGCATTCCAAGTTGCATCCAATCATATCAGTTTGGTAATGTCAAGTAAAGATGTAGACTGGCCCCTGCAACCCAGTTATTGCCTAGCACGCCATCACCACAGAGGGAGACACTTTTAGCCCATGAAATGACCTACTCTCTAAGGTAGGGGACCCTCATGCTTAAAAGGCAAGGATACCCAACCATTGTGCGACATAAGGCTCTATTAATTCAGGTAAACAGCTTCTTTGTTATGAGCAAAATTTAATCTGAGAAAATCCTGGGTTCTGGACTAATAAAATATGAAGTGGTTTTGAGCCACAGCAGGTCCTAAGGAGAGAGAGAACAGATGGGGACAAAATGAGAGGCGATGCAGTGATCTCTATAAAAATGAGAGTTGACTTTGTGCAGAAACTTTTGCCTGTGAAATATCAGGAAGAGCGATTTACAAGAAAGTGCTACTAGTTATTCCAGCCTCCTAGTGCAGAAATAGCCTCAGAAAAGGTCAACTTAATTGAAAATCGAAATGGGAAAAGCAGACTCTGAAAACTCAAATTTATATTCCAACAAGCTGTGGTCTAGCAGCAATATTCTTAGCCATACTGAGAAACCTGGTTACTAGGATTGGGATCCAACTAGAAAACCCTCTGTGGAATACCTAATGTTCTCCAGAGTGTTGCCTGACCACTGAAAGGCCATTGAGCAGCCCCTTTATTTAACCTTAGCTAGAAGAACTCCAGCACATAGGAGACAGAGCAGAAGATGGCCCTCTCCACTTTGCTGAAAGGTAATGGGATATTCCTCCTGACCCCTCCCACTTGTGGTGTTATTTTGTTTGCAGAAGTCTTTTTAGATTTCAGCAAGTTGCAGAGTACCCTGTCTCCTATAGCCTTGCGAATTAAGGATTCTCTTTCAAATGCAAATGTAAAAGCCTAGACCTAGAAAGTGGGCAGAACTCCTGCAACAATGTCATGAGAAGTTGCAGTGCAAATTTAGGAGTGAGGGTTCCTTACAGAACAAAATTTTACACTGATACAGAAGATCAAGATTTTAAATCAGCAATTACTATTTCTATTGCATACTTTGAGCCTCCAGTCAAGTGTGTTAAGCACTGAATGAACAAATAAATGACCCAGACACTCCACCAAAGAGCTTATGATCTAAGACACTTTGTGTAAATTTGTTAAATGTCAGAAATTCTTTCATTTCAGTTCCCAATTAATTAGCCATAACATTAGCAGTGACTCCTCATTTGCTGAAGCTAGCTTTATGAAGCAGCAGGATATAGAAACAAAAATTAAATTAGGACTTTTAGTAGTAACAAGAAAAGTGGAACCCAATAACCAGAGAATACATTTTTGCTGAACCAGGGAAACTTTAAAAATCCAAACTTTATACTATGTACAAGTTTAAAAAGTCAGTAGCAGGATTACAGTAGCATCTACAGTGGTAGGCAATATAAAAACCACAAAACAGAAGACTATCTCTGCTTCCAAAGAGTTCATAATATAATTTAAGACAAATTGTAACAGGTGAATGTAATGAACAGTCAGAAGGAAAAGGAAACAGAGGACAAGGGAAACAATAGAAAGAATACATATTTACAGAGCCAGCGAGGTACGTAGCTAGATGTTTGAGATGTCTTAAAAATAAAATAACCTGAAAAAAAAATCAACAAAATATTGGAAGTGTCTACCAGACTATCTTCCCAGCTGTTATCAGTTGGCAGTTTCTCACAGGCATGATGGCAGGAGGGAGACTTGAAGAGGGATATAAAGGAATACTGTAGCTTCACAGAGTAGTTCAAGGGCGTATGCCATGCATAAAAGGTACTGTGGAAGAACTCACAAAGGTTTTTGTGAGAGAAACAGATAACTGAGGTTAGTCTTCTTGGTGAAATGGAGAAGTGATGTGATAAGAGGTAAGAGCAAGTAAGCAGGGGGGCGCTTACACATAAAGGGTGTTAAAAGATAAAGACAAAAATCATTTGATGTGGCGGTGATGGAGTTAGTGGAGGGACATGTTCAAAGAGATCAACCAGGAAGATGATCTTAGTAACTGCATCTGAATGGACCTGAAAGGAGTGAAGATGGGAGATGAAGAGGCCCTAAGATCTGGTCATGGCCTGGATGTATAGGGCTAGATGGAGGGGAGAGTCAGTAATACCACCCAGTTTACAAGTATTATTAACTGGGTAGATCATGATGTTGTTAGTAAAGGAGAAAAAAGGAAGTAGGGAGGAATGTGGTACACGGTTTTGGCCATGCTAAATTTAAGTTGATGACAAGACATCCAGCCTCATGCAGAGATACAGAACTGGATGGAGGGAGACAGGTTTGTATTGGAGAGGTAGATTTGTGAGTCGTTGGCAGAGAAGACAGTTGAAACCATTTGAGAAGATGAGATTGCACTGAGAGTGAGCGTGGATGGACAAGAGGAGGAAGTCAAGGGCAGATCTCTCAGGACCACCATGAAAAGTGGAAGAGAAGAGAAGGACCCACTGAAAGAGACACTGAAGAAGTGGTCACACATCTGAGAGAAGAACAGAGCTGTGAAAGCCAAAAGAGGATGAGGTTTCAAGGAGGAAATCATCATAAATGATTTTAAAAAGTAGGTTAAGAGGTTAAGGAGGATGAGTATGGTGTATAGATCCTGAGAACTGGCCAAGAGGGGGCAGAGACCTTGGTGAAAGCAGTTTCAGCAAAGTGAAGAGGGTGGAAAACAGATTAGAGGGGATTCAAGGTTGGAGATGGAGGCGTTGAACTTCAGGCAATGGTTGTAGGTAGTGCACTCAGCGAATTCAGAGGTGAATGGGAGATGATGAGACAGTAGTTGAAGAAGGTGGGGTCAAGGGTATCTTTTTTAAAGGATACATATCATATATAGAAAAATCAGCACCTATATTAGAAGTTTAAAACAGATTTTTTTCCCCTCAAAAACAAAGCTGAAGAGAAATTAAACATCTTAATCAAATAATCTGAAAAACAAAAACTAAAATACAAAAATATTTCCTGAAAAAAAGCTATTAAAGGGATACTGCCAACTTAAAAAAACCCACTTGTCTGATTTAAAAAAAAACAACCTTTACTTGTTACAGCCAAGATTACTGTGTTTATAAAACACCAAATTTAAAAGAAGAACTAGGTGGAATGTGTAGTAATACCTCAAACTAACTTTTTTTTTTTAAATAAACTGAGTACATTTTAACGATGTATCTATACCTGAATCAACTTCAGCACTCTTTTAATGAAAACAGCCTCTCTTTAATTATACATAGAAAAGAGGGCAATATTTACAGTGAATCAGTAGATTAAAAAAACCAAAACCCTCTAAGTTTATCTTAAGAGGGATCTGTTTTTGAAACACTTTTTCAAGAAGCCTCCTGTATATGGTACAAGCAAGTTGCAAACTAACGTATAGGTCATCTGATGCATATAGATACTAAGAAATGTGACAGAGTGGATTGTTCATAGTGAGCTGCTTATTCAAAACAAATACTTTCTGTACCTGTCAGCTGTATATCCTCTTTCCTGCCATTGTTCTCCTCCTTTCCTACAACTTGCTGTTGAGCAGCCAGTGCAGTGAGCTGTGCAGACTGTTTAATTAGGGAGACCCGGTAGAAATAATTTCTCCAAAACACCTCCTCCTTTACACTAAAGAAAAACACAAATATAGGTTTTTATGACTACATAGCTTTAACGACTACATTTGATTTGTGGAAAGTTTACAGTTCGTCGCAAGCAAGGTAGAAAAAACGGAGACACTGAAAGCTACTGTAGTCAAAGCTAGTGTCATGGCTTACAGGAGTAAGGGCAGAGTTTTGTTTCCACCTTCTCAAGTGTCTGGAGTCCTCGGAAGTGTAACCAAAGCTTTGAATTCCCTGACATATGGCTACACAGTTTAAAAAAACAACCACTACAAGAGTCTCCCGCCTCTTAAGTTACTGTTGCATATTTACCACTTAAAATGGAGTTAACAGTGTATTTTCTTAGGAAAAAAGATTAGCATAATAAACAAGCTGATGTACAGTAATTATCTTCAAAAGACCATACTACCAACTCCTACTTTTCAGTGAGGCAAAACAAAACCACATGAATCCCAGCTCTAGTCTTGGCTTATCTCCCCTCTCCAAAGTCTCATCCCCTTTGATAAGGTACAACCACTTTGCCTGGGCTGGGCTACTAGTGGGATCAGAGCTCTACTAGCTTTGTGGAGAGCAGCAGATCTAGGATAAAAGGAGTACTATTTGCTCCCTCTGTACAGCACTGCTCCCTCATGGTGTTGCACCAACAGACATGGTGTCTTACATTTTTTTCTTGCTTGTTGAATTTATATTACAAAGTTTAAAACCGTTTTCAAGGTATGCTTTAGTTACACCTAAAGTAGCTGCAACATGCAATATTCTCTGTGCATCAGCTGCGTAAAGCAGTCCTTAACTAAAGGTCCAAACCTACATACATCACTAAAGTCAATGGAATGTCTCATAAAAAGCAAGCACTTACAAAATTGTGTCCCTATGATACTAAATGCCCTAGAGTGAGCTGGATGTAACCAATGTTCCCTCTAATTTTTTCCATCCATGTGCGGAATTAATTTTATGTGCACCAATATCAAGGTAATATGTGGATGTGCGCTACCAGTAGAAACAAAAAACCTAGATATAAAATCACCCTCACATATTATATAGTATAGTTTAACCCAACTGTATTTTTCATTAATGGTAAGGTAGCAATTTAAACAAGGGCCAAAGTTTGGGTTCCTCACTTAAGCAGAAAGCCCATGGGAGTTTTGGTTAACTAACAATGGCAGAATTTGGCCCTAGAAGAGTTGAATACTTTCAAAAATCTACGATCAGCAGCATATTTAAACCTGGAGTGTCACCTTCAAGTTCAACACATTTAAAAATTCAGTCCACCTGCTGTTTGGCAACATCAAATGTTCACTGTCAGTTTGAAAACAAAATATCTGGAGTATAATTGTGCAGTGAAGTATTGGTACACAGTATTCTGTTAACGTGAAATCTGCAAACAAAATCCAAATCTTTATGTACAAGCTTCATAGCCGAAACCTGCTAGAAAAGCATAAAATCTGAAAATTTGAATCACTTCTTTAAAGTGAAAAAGAAACCACGGAGTACTTAAGGTGCCACAAGTACTCCGCCTTTTAATTTTTTTTTTTTGCGCTGATACAGACTAACACAGCTACTATTCTGAAACCTGTTCTTTAAAGTGAGTTACACACAGAGAGCATATATTTGAAAGGAAATTACTCCAGTACTAACAGCAGAACATACACCGTTAAAGTGTTCTCCTCATATTAAAAAATACATAGTACATTTATATTCAAAAGGAGAAAATTACCTGATTCTAACACAGTGGATTGTGAAACTACATGGATCTTACAGAAATGCAGTATTGATTGTTACATTACCTCAGTGGGTTGCTATTTCTAACCATTGAACTGATGGTCAGCATTTGCCAACTTATTCAGCACCCCAAAATTCATGGAAGTTTTTGCAACAGGAGTTAGCATACAATGAAGGATCAAAATAGATTAATAACAAATCCCTTTATTTAGGAAGCGTTTTCCGCAAAGTTTAAAGATTCAAAATCAAACAACGTACGTACCCACAAAGATCAGGCTTTCCCTGCAAAAATTCATAAGAAATCACTTTCTTTGGATTTCTTTTATCTAGACTCTTGAAGATTATCTACAGGTAGCCTTTAATTAGTTTCCAAGTAAAAACTTGCAACTGGGGCATCTTCAGTTTTTTTTTTCTTTTAATTCTTCATCTTTTTTTTTTTTTTTTTTTAAAAAACCCCTAATTACATGATTTTAAAAAAGCACAGATTTGTGCCTCTAAAATCTACACAGAAAATAACTGCTGTTTTTTTGGAGACACAACAGTTGATTAATCATTTCTTTTTTACGCTATGTTGCGGCCAAACTCCTGATAGAGTGGTCTGATTGATTTATAGCAACATTTTTTTTAAAAGGACTGATAACAACTTGGATGTCTCGCTAAGGAATTGCATGAGCTTTCCAACAACAACAACAACAAAGGGAAGGAAGAGGGTTGAAGGAACAATGCAGTGTCCAGAGTTGAAGTGTAATTAAAATTTTGCTTTAAAAAAATCATCCCTAGGTATTTCAGCGCCCTCCCTCCACTTCTGCAGAGTGCATACAGCATCGGTAGCCCAGATTCAGACCCATGCCTTTGTGCCCAGAGAAGCTGCCCCTTCTCTCCCCAGCCCCAATATTCCTGAGCCCAGGTTTCACAGTGCGGATTCCCTCGTGTGCCAATCACACCCTAGCCCGGTGTGTTGAAACAGAACCAGAAGTTGCTGGTGCTACTCACTTGCGGTTGCAGCTGCACTAAGCACAGCCCAGGCAGCTCAGCTGCTTGTCTCCAGGGCCCTTGGTTACCGCCCTGAACTCCCAGCCACTTCGCAGCCATTCACAACACCAAGCCTCTGTTCTTGTCGGTTCCTTCCGTGCGAGGGGTGGGGAGAGCAGATCATCCCCATCCTGGCAATGCAGCACTGCCCAGGGGAGCAGGATGGGGAGGGTGTTATGCAATAATCAGAGGGCAGGGTGCCGTGCAACGGCCCTGCAAGTACTGGGGCAGGGCGGGTATGGGTGCCCGCCTGGTACTGAGCCTACCTGCTGC